ACACTAAAATACCACTTGCATCACTGGTTTTGTTTTCCTGTGGTTGAAGAACAACTTTCCCATAATTCAGAAGTTGGCCATCTAGTTGCTGTGGTTTGGTGATTTCTTCTACTCAGTGGGATGAGAAAAGTCCTGCGCCATCCAAACACATAGAATAAGCAAATTTGACCTGTGTTCTCGAAAGTAGTTATTAAGTCTACGTTTATACTGATAATCACCTAAAGTAAAAGTAGTAAAACCCACTGAACCTTTTAGCGTCTTAGGCCAAAAATTGGGAAAAGTTGGAGTGTAATAATCTTTGCGTGAACACCTCTGCGGACCCTACCACGCATCGTGAAATCTACAGAAGCACCATTTTGAGAGGAGCAATGTCGCCTAAAATTAGCACTACTTAGCAATTGTGAGAGGAATCAAAGAAAACGGTTTGCGCTTTGTAAAGTAGCACCTGCGGCATTGGCAACTAGGAGGAATAGCATCAACCAAAATAACCGAGTTCAACTTAACAGTACTTATGCAGAGCATGCAACCGACTTCTGTCATCGTACTGGGGAGATTACGCCGGTCTAGTGGTGAGCCGGAAGTCACGTGTTTTTGCTGAAGAAGCAATCACCGACAGTAGGTGTACACCTTCCAAAAAGGAAGCACTTGGCAGCTGTCATCCTTCGCTACCTCTCAGTGTTGGAACTACATTTACCTGCTTCATTTATGCACTCAGCAGGGTATTTGATAAGCACTCGTTTCTGCTGAAACAATGCAAGGGTGACGACTGACTTAAGCGTTCGCATTAGCGACTTTCAAATTTCTGTCTCTCATGGGGTTAGTCTGATTGGATCTCACACTTTTCAACACGTCTGCTTTGGGAAATTGCCATTCTTTACCGCTGCTCACCTTTTTGGCCTGGTTTTGACCTTTTGGACCATTCCACCTGGAAAGTCGTTGAGAGGCTCATCAACCGAACTACTTACGGTTCAAATGACACGTTGGTTCTCGCTATCAGAGCCAAAGTCAGTGATGTAGAAGAAGACAATTAATTGTTTCATTACAATATGCAATATACAATCCTTTTTATTCGCAAAATCAAACGACTGAGCGAACACAGTGGAGACTTAAAGGTCAACAGAATGGGGATAGACAGGTGGGTTGAGAGGCAGAGCGATGGATGGGTGAGTAGTGCGATGGAAAGGTGAGCGTGTGGACAAACGGGCACACAGATGAAAGCGTCTCCTGAAATGCCAACGAGGCAATAATGGAGGAAGGAAGCAAGTCAGCAGGAGAACTTTTGCACGCGAAAGTCATTCTGATTGCCAAAGTAGCCGAGATTGGGGGGATATACCAGTGGTTCGTCCACCTCCAGATTGGACATTCGAGGCGTCGATAGGCCGCGCACTTGAGGTTGCCTTGGCGGTGGTGGGGGTGGAGAATGCTCATAGCCAATGACGACGCTGCGTGAATCTTCCGGGTGTCTTGTTGATGCTGCGTCCTTTAGGTGTCGTGTGGGCGCTACAACATCAAAATAAGTAGTTTGTTTAAACGATTCGGTGGCCTTTTGATCAGAGGGCAGAAGGTAGTGCAAGTTCAACTCTTTGGACTGGAATTGGACAGTATACAGTTAATAGATAGTCAATTCGCTCATACTCCTACCGTCATAGAAACCTGTGACCGGTCTTCGAACTTCTCTGACTTGAATTATTTAAAGACTGGTGTGTTTGACATCTCCAGTGCGCAAAGACTGGTTAAATAAGCATCCACTCGAACCACCTCTGAGAACGTTTAGGCGGAAAGAGCTACTGATACATATGTTTTCAACAGTGGATACTCACAGTTACTGAGTACATTACAATCAACATACAAAAGGCCCTGTCATTATGGTTGTTCTTTCAGCTTCCAGTTTGAACTTGTTCACTGCCGAGTCACCAAACAGCTTTTGTCCACTAAACCTTCAGGGCTTCATCAGAAGGAAGAGACTTTCGGTCGTCATATGACCTCTCAACTCTTCTAGCTTGGATTGCTTTGAAACCCTACTTCTTGGAATTCATTGTGGGAGCCTGTCAGCAACACTTTGACGGCATAAGAGGCTCGTCTATTTTTGTTATTGAGGCAAATTATGGAGCGCAAATCATGTTAAGTCGGCTTTGTTGTCCCATGAGTAAATTCCAAGCATTAGCCGGCAGCCCATACTGCCTTTCCTTCATGAGCTACTTGCAGACGCTCCCAGAGCTTACATTATTGGCGAAAGTTATTTTTATATCCGCAAAGTTGTAAAAGAATTTTGAAGATCACAACCAATAAAGACATGTTAAAATACTTTGACAAACACAGTCAATTCATTTTCTTCATACTTGAAGTGACTGTGGTCTAGGAGAGTGCCGCCTATTTCGTTTTGGGCGACCCCTTGTCTAAATGATTTGCCTCCTCCACTATCGCTTCCTGGTGAGCTTTGAACAACAAGCAAAAAACATAAACACACATGAGTTAATCCATTCTCCAACTTGTAGACCCCATCATTTGCCCACGGCTCAAGTCTGTATATGTCGGTTAAGAAGATGGGTTGATCTGAAAGATTTTGCCTCCAGATTAATCGTTGATGAGGTTGGAAAGGACTTTAGCGCCTTGCATTTCTTTGCAGAATAACACAATCCTTTTGAATACTCTCCAAGATTGTAAGTCGGTTAAATTCTCCCAGTCAAATGTTTAAAATATCATAAAAACCCTCTAACTGCGCAACAATTCAGAACTGTTTAAACAAACAAAAAACTGCTTATTTGCGCAGGAGAAATGAAATCTTTTCACCTTTATGCTTGGGAATAAACGGATCTTTGAGGGTAAAATGACTCAAGTGAAGGTGAACGCTCGTTTAAGCGAGTCGGTGCGGCAATCCGTAAGGTCTTCTAGAAGGCGAGCAGATGTGGAGCAGTCTCCGCTGTGATCGA